TGGTGAAAGGGCTGGAGGGAGACAGCATGTTTGGCCTTGCAGTAATAGGCCTTGGGTTACTGCTGTCTTCTTCTTGTGAGATTAGAGGAGGTCAGAACATGTGGCCTCCTTGCCGTTTTTGCAGTCAGAAATATAGTCTTAATTTTCTTCTAGATTTATGGTTTAGGGTCTTTCCTTCAGGTCCATGACACATCTCAAAATTTTGTATAGCCATGAGATACAGGTTGAAGTTCCTTTTTTTTTTTTACAAAGAAATATTCTATTGTAATAGCATCATGTATTAGAAAAAGACTCCTTTTCTCATTGAAAAATCAATTGGCTATGTATGAATGTGTCTATTTTAGCCACTCCTTGGAAGGAAGGTTGGGCAATCTATTTCCATAGTGATATTGCCTTGGAAACCCAAGGAGGGGTCACTATTAGTCTGGTCCGACTTAAAGGCACATAACAACAACATTATTTCAGGATTGTCTGTCACGTTTCACTGTCCTATTTGTCTATCTTTATTCCAACAATACACTGTTTTGATTATTTTAACATTACAACACATTGTAAAATCAGGTAGTTTAAGTCTTCCAAATTCTTCAATTATTTTGGCTATTTTAGATCCTTTCCAAATCTGAAAGTAAGCTCATTGATTTATTCAAAAGTTCCTGCTGATTGTGATAGGGTTTCCATTTAATCTATAGATCCTCAAGCAGAGAGAACATTTTAATATTGAGTCTTCCAACCCATGACTATGACATAACTTTCTATTAAGTTACCACTAAAAAAAAACTCACTGCCACCGAGTTGGACCCGACTCAAAGCGACCCCTCCTTGAGTTTCCGAGGCAGTATCACTATGGAAGTAGATTGCCCAACCTTTCTTCTGAGGAGTGTCTGGTGGGTTTGAACTGCCAGCCTTCTGGTTAGCAGTCAAATGCCTTAGGCACTACGCCTTTAAAATTTTTTCTCAACCTTATTTTACACCTTTCAATGTAAATGTCCTGCATGTATTTCATGAGATCTGTTTACCTAGATATATAATTTTATGTTATTGTTGATCGTATTTTATACTTTCTTTGTTAATATAGTATTTATTAGTATTATTGAACTTCTATCCTATGGTCCTGCTACATTCACTTACTAGTTCTAGTAAGCAGTTTTGTAGATTTCTTAGGGTTTCTGTATGTGCACAATAATCATTTTTATCTTTTTTCTTGCTTTAGTGTTCTAGTTAGGACTTCTATTACAATGTTGAACAAAAGCAGTGAGAACACATTATCTCTGCCTTTGTTCCAATCTTATAGGAAAATAATTTAATATTAAATCAGTATATATATATTATCTGTTGGATTTTCATAAATGTCCTTTATGAAATGGAATAAATGTCTTCTATTTCTGGTTTGCTGGGAATTTTATCATGTGTCCAATTTTGTCAAATTATTTTTCCATGTCTTTGGCTATAATCATGTCATTCTTCTCCATTATGTTAATTGGTGAATTATAGTGCTGAGATCTACTTCACTCAGTCATGATATATCATTCTTTTTTTTGTATATTTCTGAGTTCTATTTCCTAATTTTTTTTAAAAGTAATTTTGCATTCATATTCATGAGGGTTACTTTTCTCAGTTAGGATCCTGGTGACACAGTGGTTAAAGACTTTGGCCACTAACTGAAGTCAGCAGTTTAAGCCTGGCAGCTGCTCTGTGGGAAAGAGATAAGGTAATTTGCTTCTGTAACAATTTATAGCCTTGGAACCTTCTGGGGCAGTTCTAGTTTAGCCTATGGGGTGATTACCAGTCAGAATCAACTTGACAACAATGGGTTTTTTCCTCAATTGTTGATTTGTTCTTTAGAATTTAGAGCCTACAAAAATCAATTACCTTAAATATTTGCCTGCTTAAGACTACCTTTACAAGTAACTAAAATTTGCAGTAAATAATTTAAGAGGCATTTGAATGCAGGTGGAGTGGCTTTTGTTTGCTCTCGTCTATCTACTGTTACTCACAAACTTCTCAGTCCTGTTTATGAATACTAACCCTTGTTTCACATAAACCATGATTAGAATAAATCTTTAACCTTAGCTACATCTTCTCTCCAGAGACTATGTTTTATCAATCTATTGCAAGCATGTGTGACAGCTCAGTTAGAATCTCTTGTGCAAAGTTTAAGCAAAGAATGAGCTCACATCAAATTCAGCTTTTCTTCTCTTTATAGATGCATTCCAGAAGAAAAATACTTAAAAAAAAAAAAAATAAATAAGAGACTATAAAACATGTATTTTATGACTTTCTGGGAAGTAAAGAACTTAGAAATATCATCTTCACTATTTTTTTATACTAAAATTTTCAAATCCACTGAGCTCCAGACTGTGCTGACAAAGAAATATCATTAATATGATATTAACCATTGCTTCAAAACCCATTTCTAGAGGAGTTATCATGCTGATTACCTGAGGTCTTAGAAAATTTCTCTCATAAATGTGCTCCAAACATAACATGCTTTATAATGATTTACAGAATGTGAAACACTGGGCTTGGCAAACTGCCGCATTTCTGTTTGTTTCTCTTAAAAAAGTAGAAAAAACTACAGTGTTATAGTCCTTTGGTTTTATTTTCTGGATAAAAAAGCATAGGCATAAATGTTTTAAATGGTCCTCCTGATGACAGCCTTTAAAATAATTACAAATGGCTGTTTTCACATCTCTTGATTTTCAGTATTCATAAATGTCGCTGTCAGCCTTGATTAATTGGTTGGAAAATGCAAAGCAGAGTAAGAAGCATTTGTGAATGTTTCCCCAATCCCTGAGAATCATAATCATCACAGAAAGATTTTTATCTTTTCATCATAAGTCTCTAGAAAGTAGTCGTGTTCGCTCATTGTTAACTGGGCAAGGAGCTGCGTCATAGAGAGTCAATCCTTGTAAATTGGCTTCCACTCGCAAAGAAATTTTCTGGAACAGAAAAGAAAATTATATAGAAGCTTGCTCCCTGAAGACAGATCACATCTTTTTTCTGTTCTGTAGACTATCTCTTGTAATTAGGAATGTAAATCAATTCTAACAGGAAATAAGAATGAAGCAGCTGTTGTACTATCAAAGGGATCCTATATAATATCAATTAATGTGAGAACACCAAGTTTTTCTGATTCAAAGTTCCTTGTTTTTCCTTGGTTTCCATTAAGAATCAGCAAATAATAAATGTTGAAGATAACCTTTATAAATGTAGACAGAACTGATGAAAAATCTGTGAAAGAATTTCTCCAGGTTCAGTGTTTTAAAATGTTATTTTCAAGGCTGAACCTTGCCAGCACAACCCTATTCCTCAAAAACAGAAACCCACCCACCTGAAGACTGCTCTTCTGGAACCACTGCTCATGGTGCCAAATTTTAAACAAGATTAATTTTTGAAAAGGTTAGAAATTTGCTTATGAAGGGTTCTCTTGCTCCACCTGAAGGAGATCTGACCCTGAATAAATCTATTTCTGTGTTTTCTTACCTGAAAATCACGAATGTAAGTCAGGAAAAAGCCAAAGAAAGAAAATGACATGGACCATTCTGCGGCAGTGGTGATCATGTGAAGCACATAGCCCTTGGGTGACGGGGAATAAAGGAAAAGCACTGTGAAACCTCATTCAGAGGATCTACAATTCCTTGTGAATAAAAATATCCACAATTATTAAACACCACTCTGCCTTCTAAAAACTAATCCTTTATTTATTCAACATATCTCAAGAATTAAAGGGACAATAAGAGGAAAACCTTCTTAAGTGATATTAGCAATCCTGGTTTCATTTAGAGGAAATAAAATTTCCATTTGAGTAACTAAGATGAAATAGAAGAATTTCTACCCTATATTGCCTTTCCCAAAGCCACAATGTTCATAAAATGCCACTAAAAGAGTTTTAGTAAATGACGTTCATGACAAACTTAGTAACTGCTATTTTAGAATATTAAATACATGGATTTATAATTAGAAGAATCTAGTAAATTATTTCATTCATTCATCTTCAAAAACATGTCCTGTTCAGAGCTGATTCTTAAAAGATGACTTAAAATAGAATGCTGTCGAGTGGTTAGTGAAAACAAATGAACTCAATTTATGTTAGGGTTTGTCCCTCCTCTTTTATTCTCAGGATCAAAGATGCCATCTCCATTCAGATACTCATTTTATTGGAATCCAAGTACAGAGTCTTTAATAAACTGCCAGATAATAAAAAGGAGAAGACATCTTTTCAAGTGAGAAAATAAGTATCCTAAAAATAAAAGGTCTCAGTGGGGTATATTGTATACTACATCCACATTCAGGGGAGTTGATTTCTGAGAAAATTCCTGGTCATTACAATTTCTTTTCATGGCTTGAAGATGTTCACTGATCACAGGTGACAGAACATGGATGCTTCTACAAAAACTCTATCTTGTCTAGAAAATAATTCCAATATATAACTGAAATTCTCCTGAAAAAGTTTTGCTGCTAGTTTGAACTCAGAAAAACATCAAAATCCACCAAAATAGTCATCTTTAAAATAAAATGAAGTTGTATAGACTCTTAGTTCTTACTTTCTCCTCAGGGTTCCAGTGGAGTTTCTGCACTATATCAGTGCCAAAATTGCCACTGTACAAAAGTGATGAGCAAGTCAGCACTATAAGGAAATAAGTTAAGGAAACATCTCAGAGATGATCTATAAATTTAAATTAGATTTAAAAAAAAAAAATCACATTAAAGATCCACAATGATTACTCAGACATTTGTTGTGAAGGTCTGAACCAATTTTCTCAAACACTAATGTCATAATAAGCAGCTATAAAAAAAATATTCCCAGAAGATCATAACAAAATGGTTCTCATAGTCAACCCCTCCTCTCTGCTCAGTAAATCAGCAGTTCTGTTATAAGCTCTGATGGATAACTGTTCTCAGGTAGGCATTAACTCATCCTTCATTTCTTTGAAGTGAGTATGCTCAGGCTGAATATTATCTTTGTTCCTGGCTTAGTTACTCAGGTTCTACATACCATTTGAATTATGTTTCAAATCCTTTAATTTAGGATTACTAACCCAAGAATCTCTCCCACCAAATGGTTGCTTATTCTAAGACTGCTGCCTTATTATTCCATTCCCTCCAAGTGTAGCCACAGTTTTCACAGGAAAGGATACTGCTAAATGCACTAACTGCACACCAGACAACCACTAGTAGTCTGATCCAGAAGACTTGTTTGCCATGAATTCTGGGCTGCATTTGGTAGGAAAGGATAGTCTGAACAAACATGTATAATGAGCCCAGACCAAAGGTGAGCACAGCTCCACTTACATGTGCAGCAAACAGGGTTGTTTTCTAAGAGAAAGAAAGAAGAAATAAATAAATGAAACTCAGAACACACTGGCATCATTACATTTAAAAGCACAAGTCAAAGAGTTCAACAGGGCATTCATTGAGCAGAGCAGCTCTGCAGATTTCACAACAAATAAAACACTTTCTGAAATAATTTTCTCTCATATACTCAGTATAAATCTGAGGATTCCTAGACCATTTTATATGCCACTACTGAAAAGATTATCACACTTATAATTTATTCTTTTACTCATTAATACATTTATTGAGTGTCTATTATGTGCCAGGCACTGATCTAAATCCTTGGGTATATTGGTGAACAAAACAGACAAAAAATCTCAGCCCACTTGTAGTTTATTCCAGTGAGGGAGCACACACAATGTTGTAAAATAAGCAAATTTCATAGTATGCTAGGCGGTGATTCAGGTTACAGAAAAGGAGCAACTCAAGGTGAGAAGGAATAGCAGCAGAGTTGGAAATGCTGAGGGTAGGGAGTTACAACAATTTAAGGACTCAAGAAATTTAAACACTCTCCTTTTGTCTCTAGTTTGATAGATTATATAGTAAGGAATTACTACACATTATAATTTTTTTCTCCTCTACCTTAATCTTATCACTACCCATTTGCATTTTACTATTTAATATATAGCTTTTTCTTACAATTGACAACAGCAGCTCTCTGAAAAAATGTTTTTAAATCGCTTTATTTCATTTGGTTGAGAAATTACTATGTAACTCTTAGCAAAGGCTTCTGAACTAAGGTAACAAGAGAGAGGTTAGGGATTGGGTCCCACCTCCTTTTACAATCAGTTGTGCTTATTTACAACTACTATTGCTAGGTCTGGAGCTCTGGTGGCGTAGTGGGTAAGATATTTAGCTGCTAACCAGGTCAGCAGTTCAAACCCGCCTGCTGATCTGCGGAAGATGAAGCAATCCACTTCCGTGAAGATTTAAAGCCTTGGAAACTCAATGGGGATCACTTAAGTTGGAATCAACTCAATGGCAGTGGGTTTGGTTTTGGTTTATTGCTAGCGAGTTCTGAACTCACCCTTCTTAGTTCAAGATTACAGGGAGTTTCTATTTAAAAAAAAAAAAACCACCTCACTGCCATCAAGTATGTTCTGACACATAGTGACCCCTCTTTGGGTTTCTGAGGCCATAGCTCTACGGAAGTAGAACCACCAGCCTTCTGGTTAGCAGTCAAATGCCTTAGGCACTATGCCACCAGAGCTCCTAATAAAAGATTACAATTTTCCAATGGTGTTGGTTTCTTTTTGGAGAAAGGACCACTTCTACATGGCTTGGGGTATAATAATTGACAACAGGAAAGAGCCCTGATGATGGTGTAGTGGTTAAAGCACTCAGCTGCTAACCTAAAGGTTGATGGTTTGAACCCACCAGCTGCACTGTGTGCTTCCATAAAGATTATAGCCTTGGGAACCCTATGGGGCAGCTCTACTCTATTCTGTAGGTTTGCTATGAGTCAGAATTTAATTCAATGGGTTTGTTTTCTGTTTATGGTAACTGGCAATAAGTTATTAAGTAAAAGGAAGGGGAAAAATACATTGTTGCTCCTACTGTGGGTGAAAAAGAGACAAAAGCAAATATTCAGCCTCCATAAATCATACAAAATTATAGTATCTTCTTGGTTTATAACTTGTGATTTATCTATGCATACACATAAAGACAGGAAAGATATGGGCACAAATAAAAACAACTATTTTAGGGGGAATAGGGGAGAATCCTTGCCTTTAAAGGCATTCTCATATATATTGATAGAGCTACATATACAGTCTGATCAGTTCCTACTTGTGGCCAGTACACAGCTCCATCAACAAAATCCTGTGATTAGAAAGCAAAAATAAAGAATGACAAGAGAGCATTTACCATATTTTTATAAGTGAAAGAGAAGTATAAGAAACTAGTTTTAACTTGCAGTATTTCTGATGAACACATTTGCCACTTTACAGACTGTAGGGGAAAGTTATAAAAAGATATTGAAAAAAAAAAAAATGCTGGCACCTCTAAGGATTCCCTGATTCTATATGAGTGTGAGCCATTATGTAGCTCTGATCAGGCCATTTTATAGAGAATAATTCACTAATGATAGAACGTATGTGTAGAGAAAAGACAGAAGTGTAACTTATGATAATCACCTTGTGGATACTGACTAGCTAATTTTGCATCCATCTGTAAATTAATCTTAGCATCCTGACTATAAATGTGTGGTACTTTGATTACTCTTTTGAAGTTATAATATCTATTGGTGCATTCATTAATTAATAAACTAAATAAAGTCTGAGACATGTACAAAAGTCATAACTTCATCCTCTTTAAAAAGTTTTCTTTTAACAAGACAAAGGTATTCAGTTTTTGACAAAACAAAGAAGAAAATTACAGAGGTATATGTGGTCAGGAGCAAGGTTTGATAGAGAACTTGGAAGTTCCATGTTGAGTATTCTCTAATCTTTATGCAAAAGCTGTTAAGGAAACATAGTAACAAATCTGCCTACTGGAGTGAAAATATCCTTACCCCTTTCAAAGTCTCCTTGAAGATAAATTTCCTACGAAGAGAGTCCTGTTGGCAGTCACTAAGGACACTTAGTGTATACTTTTGTCATGTACTTCTTAGTGTATTTACCTGGGCAAGCAGTGCTGACTACACCCATATTTGGGATTGGCTTTCCCATCAACCAAAAGTTTTATGTTTCTACCCTCTAGAAAGTGCTTCCCCTTCTTCTTCTCTCTTACCCTTGATAACCATCAAAGAATTTTTCTTTCTGGGTATGTATAACAATGGAACCAAACAATATTTGTCTTTTTATAACAGTGGAACCAAACAATATTTGTCTTTTTGTGATTGACTTATTTCACTCTGCCTAATGTCCTCCAGATTCATCCACGTTGTATGTTTCATGGACTCTTCATTATTCTTGAGTGTTGCATAGTATTTCACTGTATTTATGTACCACAATTTCTGTAGTTATTCATCTGTTGATGGGCACTTAGGTTGTTTCCATATTTTTGTATTGTGAATAATGCTGTACTGAACATAGGTGTTCATATGTCTGTTTGTGTCAAACCCACCAAAACCCACTACCATTGAGTCAATTCTGACTCACAGTGACCCTACAGGACAGAGTAGAACTGCCATTGTGGAGTTACCAACACAGTAAACCTAAATTTATAGATGCAGACTTCTTCATCTTTCTCCTAACAGAGCAGCTGGTGGGTTTGAACCACCAACCTTTTGGTTAACAGCTTAATGCCTTAACCACCAGAGCTCCTATTTGTGTCACTGCTCTTATATCTCCAGTATACATATATATCTAGCAGTGGGATTGTTGGATCATAAGGAGCTCTGGGAGCATAGTGCCTAAGAGACTTGATTGCTAACCAGAAGACTGGCAGTTCAAACCTACCAGCCACTCCTCGGAAGGAAGGTTGGGCAATCTACTTCCGTAGTGATACCGCCTCAGAAACCCAAGGAGGGGTTGCTATGAGTTAGGTCTGACTTGACGGCACACAACAACAACAAAGGTGTTTCTATTTCTAGTTTTTTTTCTTTTTAATTTTTATTGTGATTTGGGTGAAAGTTTACAGAGCAAATTCATTTTCCATACAGCAGCTCACATACACTTTGTCTCACGACATTGACTGCAATTTCCCACAATGCAACAGCTCCCCTCCCACTTCCTCCATAGTTACCTCTTCCCTGTGCCTTTCCCTCCATGCACTCCTGCCCAGCCAAGCTGTTGCCCTGTGCATACACAGCCCTTCTATTCTCCCATGACTGATCTCTCCAAGGAGTGTATCTATCTATTGTAAATGTTCACCTCTTATGTCTATTTTTTGTTTGGTTGGCAGTCACAGGAGTGGGTTCAATTCCAGACGTAAAGGACAACTAGGGGCCATAGTCTCAGTGGTTCCACCAGGCTCCATCAGACCACCTAACCTGGTCCCTTTTTTTCTTTTTCAAATGATTTTGAGTTTTGTTCCACATTGTTTTCCCACTCTACCTAGGATCTCCTACAGAGATCCCCCTCTCTCCCTCAGAGTGGTTGACAGTGGCATCCAGGCACCATCTAGTTCTGGTCTCAGTTGTATGGGATGAGGATCGCATGGTGTACCAGTCGCTTGGACTACTTGTTTCCATGTGTCTTTGGTTTTCTTCATTCTTCTTTGCTCTGGTTGAGGAGAGTCCCATCGTTGCATCTAGATGGCTGCTTGCAAGCTTTTAAGATTCTACTCACCAAAGTAGGATGTGGAACAATGATTTTGTGTTGTATGTTATGCCAATTGCTTGACGTCCCCTGTGACTGTGGTCCCGAGCCCACAGGTCCAACTACTCACTCCCTGTGGGTAGCTGGCTGTGGCCAAGAAGTGACCGCAACCTTGCCCCTTGTCAGCTCTACTATATACCTGGGAATTCTTACAGAACATACAAATACACTTGTACAAACACTGCCTGCCAACCCTGGTCGGCATGTATTGTTGATAGACTATTTATGCTGAAAATTAGGTCCCCTAGTTTTGACCCTATATTATCTTCCAGGAACTTTATAGTTTTAACATTTAGGTCTTTGATCCATTTCGAGTTGGTCTTGGTGGATGGAATGAAGTATGGATCCTGATCCATTTTTCTACATATTGATATTCAGTTTTGCCAATACCATTTACCAAAGAGACTGTTTATTCTCTATTGAATGGATTTTGACCCATTTTTGAGGATCAGCTGCCCACAGAAGGATGAATTTAGTTCTGAGTTCTCAATTCTATTCCCTTGATCTATGTGTCTGTCACTGAATAGGTATCAGGCTATTTTGATGACCATGGCTGTATTTTTGAGATCAGGAAGTATGACGCTTTCCATATTCTCCTTCTTCAATAGTGCTTTAGCTATTTGGGGCCTCCTTCCTTTCCACATCAAGCTGGAGGTTAATTTTTCCTTTTCATTAAAGAATGTTGTTGGGATTTAAATCAGGATTCCATTACATTTTTAGATCACTTTTGGTAATGCTGACATTTTCACAATGTTAAATATTCCAACTCACAAGCATGGAATTTTTTCCCATTAATGTGTATGTCTTTCAGTTTCTTGCAGTACTGTTTCATAATTTTCCTTGTGTAAGTCTTTTATATCCCTGGTTAGGTTTATTTCTAGGTATTTTGTCCTTTGAGGGGCTACTGTAAATGGTATTGATTTCCTGATTTACTTTTCAGAGCCCTCCTTGTTAGTATAGGGGAACACAACTGAGTTTTGTGTGTTGATCTTGTACCCTGCCACTTTGCTGAATCCTTCTATTAGTTCCACTAACTTTCTTGTGAAGTCTTTGTGATTTTTCTATGTATAAGACCATGTCATCCATAAATAAGGACAATTTTACTTCTTCCTTTCCAATTTGGATATCTTTTACTTTCTTTTCATGCCTTACTGCTCTCACTAGTACTTCCAGCACAATACTGAACAAGAGTGGTGATAAAGGGCATTCTTGTCTCATTCCTCTTCTCAAGGGGAGTGCTCTCAATCTTTTCCTGTTGCAAATAATGTTGGTGTTGGTTGTGCTTATATGCCCTTAATTACCATGCATTTGTTTTGCCGAATACTACATATGCTCTTGATTTCAAAGAAATTCAGTTTATATTTTTAAAGTCAGATCTTGCAGGTATCACATTATAACATTTATTTGGTAGCTCTTGAAATGCAGACAACCATAGCATTTCCATAGCAAGACATTTTTTGCATCCTGCTTAGTCGATTTGGCCTGTCACAACAAATTACCACATATTTAATGTGAGTATGCTTGTGACAAATACTACGTTAGGTGCTTGTAATGGATGGAGAAAATATACTAACCAGAAACAAAAATAAGCACTGAGGTACACATACAAAACCAGAGATACAAATTCCTGACAGTACTAAGTCTTCTGAAGAATCCATTTCCAGAGGCTTGGAGAACAAAAGAAAACCTGAAATATACTAGAGTAATGCTTACAGAAAAGACTACCCTGAAGAAATATAGTCTGCACTGTGATCTTAAAGATGTTTATATCCATTTGGGCTTGGGGGTCACGGCATGTGCAAATGGAGACAGCATTTGAAATGGAGTTAAGTTAGCTCATCTTATTTAAGAAACAAAAAAAGGCCAGGGTATGTACAAAAGAGATTATCGGGAAGGGAAATGATGCAGGAGGCTGGACAGGCAGAAAGGAGCCAGATTATCTAAGACCACTGAGCTAATTATGCAGCTGGGCAGCGTATAAAATTACTTGTTCTCTCTTGATTACATCTTTTCACGTAATTTTGGACTACAGAGCTTTAAGTACAGGTGCAGGGAAACAGAGTGAGATGTATATACATTTCCAGAAGATCACTCTGAGTACATTATGAAGAAATGATTAGAAGGATGTAAGAGTGATTGCAGAAAAACCACTGAGGCAGCTCTGGCAGTAATCCAGATGACAGAGAAGGAGATGTTAGAGAGAAAAGGAGAAATGGAAATGGAGAGAAAAAGATGCAATCAAGAAATACTTAAGAAGTGACACGAGTTACTCTATTTATAACACAGTGCTAGCCTCTCTTCCTCTCTTCCTCTTTCTTCTACAGTCATGCCCTGTAACTATAGCACATTTATAGATCTGGTTCACTCTATAAGAATCAATTGAAGTTTGTCTCTACCAGAGAAAGGAAAGGAGAGGAGGAGGCAATACACCCACCACTTTAAATAAATATTAAAAGTTTACATTCGAAAGGAAGGAGAACTATTTGACACTTGGGTAATGCTACCGAGTCTGTTTTATAGAATATGGTCCAGCAACAAAGCAGAAGTGAAAGAAAGATGAAAAGGACACTCCAAAACTACAGGAAAAGAGAGGTAATCAAGAAAGAAAAAGTAATCTGATTCAAAATAGATCAATGGCACTCCCAAGGTGAAGGTGAATTAGAATAAAAGCTGAAAATAAAATAACAAAGGAGGTATGTAATAAATAGTCTTAGTAGGTGAGTGAAATAAGTTAGAAAGGCAGCTTAGGTAAGTGCTATCAGGAAGTATTATTAAGGATAGAAATGTACTGGGTTGTGTAAACAAGTATCAGTTATTAATGGAAGTAGTATGAAATATACCAATCCGGGTGGCACAGTGGTTAACTGCTCAGCTGCTAACTGTTTGAACCCATCAGCCACTCCACAGAAGAAAGATAGGGCAGTTTGCTTTCCATGGAAACTCAATGGGGCAGCTCTCTGTCCTATCAGGTCACAACGAGTTGAAAATGATGGCAAGGGGTTTTCGTTTGGGGATTTTTTTTTAAATTTTTTTAGAGTATGAAAAATATGGAGGTAACTTTGGGATTTTTACCATACAGAAGACGATGTTAAATGGGTCAAAGGACAACTGGAGTAAAAAAATTACTACTATACACCAACAACTCCAAAGAACCTATTTTTAAAAAAACAGAAGTTGATTATGCAAGGTAGGGTCCTATTTGTGGCACAGACAGCTAAGTAGGCATCCACCAAAATTTTTATTGCCCTTTCATACTCAGAGTTGTCCCTGGAAACTAATGCCCAGCAAGACGACATTTCCCAGCCCTGCTAGCATTGAGGAAATGAATGTCAGTGGAATGATGTGAATCACTTCCTGGCTCAGGCTTTTAAGAAGTAGCTATGCTTGCTGCATGCTTTCTTTTACAGTTTCAGCCAGATGAATGCAAAAGACACTAAGGCCTGAGGGAATGACAGAGCCCAAAGATAGAAAGAGCCTGTCTCTTAAATCCCTGTGGGAGGAAAACCACCTGCCCAACACAAACACCTGCACTGGATTCATGTAAGAAAAACTGGTGTTAAGTGACCGAAATTTTGGGCTTTATTTATTATACCAGTAAGCATTACCCTAATCAATACCCACCTGGACTATACTTTTAGAGCCTAATAGTATTAACAATTATTAAATAAATGATAATACATAGGGAACCAATCAGAAGCAAGAGAGACAGAAACTGACTACCTACTTATGTGTATTTGTCTAGTGGGTGTATTATTTGTATATCTGAATGGTTATCAGATGACTAAAAAGGTTATAAAATTCTAAATTAAAAATATAAAGCCTCCATAGAGATTGATCAAAAAGCACTATATGCCAGGATGCAGCCCCAAAGACCAGAAATTCATCAGAAAGAATGTCAATAGACTGCAGAGAGCTGCGAAGAGTCAGAGCTGTGAGACGTGGAACTGAAGAGGGCTGCCTTGTTTTTTTCAGGTCTCATGAATCTTCCCCCTTTGACACAAGGCAGTCTTAACACTGTTCTATTGCTTATTTTAGTGGAAAATATTTGAGTTTTCCTTCTTTGGCAGGTTTCGACCTGATGTAGAGTGCAACTTTCACAGGTTTCACTATACTTGGTGAAGGCTGACTGCTATTTAATGTCAAGAATTACTTGAGAAAAAGGGGGAGGAGTTACTGATTCTCCCTTTACTTCTTCATATATGGGGCTGGACACCTAGAAATAATATAATATCTAAACAAGTATGCCAAATGGGTAAAGGAATACCCATACCTGTTAAACATACATTAAAAAAAAAAGTTTAAATCTGAAATTACATCATTTTTAATCTATATCAACTCTCCCTGTTTGGTCTCATGGTAATCTTCAACAAAGTAGTAATAAAGACACTAATAACTGTCTGTGGATCCTAGAAAAAAAAAATTACAATAATTTATAGTTGTTCGGGAAAGTGAGATTATTACTGTGAATGTAATTTTCCAATTAAGAATGTGGTTATTTTCTAAGAGCATCAGATAATTTAAAGCGAATGGATTCTACTTTGTTAAGGGAAAGATAATAGCAGCATGGAACTGACAATGTCTGTTTGTTTTTTTTTAACATATACATTTATATACTTCAGGAAAATATCTTAGTTGGGCTGAAACACAAACCTGGAAATTTGCCACAATAGAAAGTCCTAAACAACTCAGTAATCCAAGTACAAGGCCAGCCTTGTTTAATCTGATGATACGATTCTCTTCAGGAGTCAGAGCATGAACTTGCTTATAACGAACATAGATGGTAGCAACACCTGGAATAGACAATCCAAAAAGCAACCAAATAATAACGAAGGAAAAAGTTGCCAAAGGTCACAAATTTAAGAAACACAAATTTTTCTTTTAAAGTTAATCTCAGAGGAGAAGAAAAACCGCTTTAGATTTTAAAGAACTTTTAAGGTTGCATTATGTACTTAGTGATATCACTGCATGACTAAGCAAGTCATTTGAATTGTTTTAACAAATATTTAGGATACAATTTTAAGAGACAAATCTTATGTTTCCTGAATATCTCTAATAATACATGTTATATGAAACACATAATATTTTACAGGCATATCTCATTTTATTGCACTTCGCATTATTGTTTCACAGATACTGTTTTTACAAAGTGAAACTTAGGGTTTGTGGCAACCCTAAGTTGAACAAGTCTATCAGCGCCATTCTTCCAACAGCATGCACTCACGGCATGTTTCTATGTCACATTTTGGCAATTCTCACAATATTTCAAACTTTTTCATAATACTGCTGCATACTTAATAGTCTACAGTATAGTATAAACATAACTTTTATATGCACTGGGAAAGAGAAAATCCATGTGACTTGGTTTATTGCGATATTCACTTTATTATGGTGGTCTGGAAGCGAATCTCCAGTATCTCTGAGGTATGCCTGTATATGAGTAGCATCAAAGCCAAAAGCAATTACATAGTTCTAGAGTATGGATAAATGGTCTTAGCCAAAACAAACACCTCAGAAGGTGATGTTCTTGTTTTCTTTCAAGTTTACAACAACTTAATCAGATACAGTGTTCAATTATGTAAGGAAAAAGCCCACTTTACCTCTTATTAGTCAAGAAAAGGCCAAAATGAACTTTCCTTTGCAGAAATATTGCCAAAGAACTCAGAAGTGTAGAAAATGTAATAGACATATGCTTTAAATGGTAGGAATGTTCATGAAAAGTTGAGTCATAAGAGGAAATTTCTATAATCATTTTCCTAACATCTTTTAAAACTCAAGCCAATAATGGGAAAAAATATTTTAATGAACCATTAATAAAAATTTAGTTCAAAATATAAATACTAAACAGTACTATCATAAGAACTCCATTTCTTTGGAGCTAGCATATCATTCAGAAATCTAGACATGTTCCATCTCTCTTCCCAAACTTTAAAACTGTTTATCCTAAAAGAATTTAGTTGGGGTTAGTTGTAGTCAGTTGTATCTACAGCTTTTTCTCCCCTACTCATTGCTTAAAAAGTTCACTTTTAACTTCAAGTAGTATTTGCTGATACAGGGATACCTAGGAGTTATTGTAGGCTCAGTTCCAGACCACCACAATATAGTGAATACTGCAAAAAAGCAAGTCACATGAGTTTTTTTATTTCCCAGGGCATGTAAGTTATGTTTATACTATACCGTAGTCTATTAATTGTCCAAAGCATTATGGAAAAGTTGAAAATATTGTTAGAATTACCAAAATGTGACACAGAGAAATTAAGTGAGCACATGCTGTTAGAAAAAATGGCACCAAAACACTTCCTCAACTCAGGGTTACCACAAACCTTCAATTTGTAAAAAACACAGCACATGCAAAGCGTAAAAAAGCCAAATGCAATGAAATAAGCGATGTCTGTACTTTACAACTTCTATTTGGGTGAACAGTTGAATAGACCTACAGATATTTTTTAAAGGCTCATTTCCATAATTTATAATTTCTAGAAATTCATTCAAGTAGCATATTCTGTGATCAGTAATTTAGTGATGACATTCCCTCAAGTATAACTAAAAAGTAAAAGAGGCAACACAGTACTCTTTTTTAAAAAGAAAAAAAGCAATTTAGCTATTATTTTTAATCTTTAAATAAGAGTGTTCTCTTTACTTACATAAAACTGCGGTGACATTTAACATTGCCCCAAACAGACATTTTTCTGGAGCTACTGTACCAGTGTCACTGAAAGAAAAAAAGAAGGAATGTGGATTTCTCACATAAGCTATACATGTGTATTTCTTCTAAGGAATAAGAAGTAAAAGGAATTACATCAAACTCTTTTATCAGGAGTTCCACTCATCCCATTGTATGAAGAGAATATGACAAATATTTGCCTACTTGACTTTCTTTTCACATCACTTAAGATTATTTCTTTTCCACACATTAGAATTCAATATAAATTAATCAAATAAAAAACCTACACTTGGTATGTGAAGATTAGGTTATTAACTTCGGTCATGCAGATGTGTTTGTCTCACCAGAATATTCCCTAAAGAACAGAGGCCCTTTCATAACTCTACCTTTTTGCACCTACTATTGACTCTCCAGGAGCTCTGGTAGCATAGTGGCTAAAGCACTTGACTGCTAACCAGAAGGCTGGCGGTTCAAACCCACCAGCCACTCCTCGGAAGGAAGGTTGGGCAATCCTACTTCCGTAGTGATACTGCCTCGGAAACCCAAGGAGGGGTCGCTATGAGTCGGGGCTGACTCGACGGCACATAACAACTAACAACAACATTGACTCTCTGGTAGCATAGTGCCTAAGGCACTTGACTGCTCACCAGAAGGCTGGCGGTTCAAACCCACCAGCCACTCCTCGGAAGGAAGGTTGGGCAATCCTACTTCCGTAGTGATACTGCCTCGGAAACCCAAGGAGGGGTCGCTATGAGTCGGGGCCGACTCGACTGCAAACAACAACAACAACATTGACTCTGCCTAGAATTCAATTAACACTATTCATTCAATGATTAATTAAAATCCAAACATTAATCAAGCACCCACCACATGCCAGGCATCATTTAGGGGCAGGAATGTAGTGGCAAATAAACAGACAAAGCCCCTGCCCTCATGGAGCTTAAACTCAAGACCTGTTTTGAGTCCTGTCCTCTCTACAGCCTTTACCAACTCCTCTAATGGATAATTAGTGACTCCCACAGAATTTTGTCCATACTTCCATTCAAACCACTTATCACACTGTATTGCAATATATCTGTTTGCATGTCCATTTTTCAGGGTGGTATGGAATACACAGACCCAGGTTAAAAGCCAGCCATTTAACTGTGGGAACTTGAGTGCATTCTTTTTTTCTCCCTAAGGCTGCAAAATAGGCTATTAATTCCCTCCCAGCTCACAGGGTCAACATAATGATGAAATAAAATGGGTGGTATATGAAAAGTCCTAGTGTAGTAATAGATACATGAGACACACCCATTAAATATTAGTTTCTTTCCCTTCCCTCAACCTACTACAGAGATTAGAAAGACAAGATCTTTGGCCTTGAATTGAATGGTATAGAGAAGAAAGAATGAGAATGCCAACCAAGGCAATGTGTTGGAAATAAAAAAGAAATGGAGAGTCATGTCTGCTAAAGAATCAGTAAGATTTTGTAAACATGCAGATTAGGGGTTTTAGGAAAATGAAAGTATCAAAAATAAATTTTAAAGACTGGTTCTTTTAGCTCTAAAATTCCAGAAATCTTTCTTGATAAAATTCTGCAATTAAAAAAATTTCTTTAATTAAAATGGAAAAACAAGCAAAAGCAACATATTTCTAAAGGAATAATAATAAAAGACTAATAAAATGTATATTTCTGATATAAATGACTTTGCTACTTTTTGGTTATCTTCAGAGAGTGGGGATTATGGTTTTTCCTTATTTCTTTCTGCCTTCCAAATTGTTCACAGGTATTAAGAATTATTCTTAAAATCAGAAAAAAAACTAGTAATTTTAACAGCTATATGCCAAATGATGCTCCTGTCTTAGATTACCCTATAATTTAGCAAAACACACATTTCCAAGATGGCTAAGTAAGGGTGCCCCTTCTTTTGGCCCTGAAATAGAAAGACATAAAAGGCCAACAAAGAAAAAAAGCCATGCCAATAACTTCATCAAAGCCATACTTGAACGTCAAAACCAAAAAACCCGTGGCCACCAACTTGATTCTGATTCCTAGTGACCATATAGAACAGAGTAAGATTGTACTCTGTATATGGTTTCCAAGATTGTAATCTTTACAGAAGCAGACTGTTGCATCTTTTTCCTGTGGAACTCAAGGTGGGTTTGAACCACCGACCTTTTGGTTAGCAGCCAAACACTTTAACCACGACACCACCAGGGCTCCTTACTTCAATCCAACAGCCACTAAACTGTTTTGATCACAGACCATCAGAAAAATGTTTGAGCATGTAACTTTCAAAATATATTATTACCATTCCATATATTAAATGTTAGTAAATTAATTTCTTTTTTTTTAAATTAGAAAGAGGTTTCAACATTTTCTACTCACATCCCAGTCTTACACTTCACTGGGGCTTTCACTTGTAGCAGAATTGCCTTTGAAGTGAAATTTACATTTGGTCAGTGCTCTAACAACTAGCCCCTCTGGATAGGAGTTAGTAACTGAAAAGGAACCTTGGAGATTACCACTTTAATCATTTCACAGATGAATGAAATAATCTAAAAGAGGTAAAAAATGATTGCTATTAAATTTAAATGTATTAGACTGTTGAAAAAAGATTACTGAGTAATCTAAGCTCCTTAGCATAAAAAGAAAAATGCAGAAAGACTGGGCGAAGAGGAAGTGCCTAGGGTGCTATAAGAAAATCACGTGCAGCACCATCAGAGAACTGAAACTCTGAAAAGAACCAATGCTTCTTAAGCAGATTATTGAAAGCTCTGTAAAATGGAAACAGGCAAGTTCTCAGAAGAGGAAAACATACTGAAGAACCCTCATGAATATTAAATATGAATCTTTTTTTTTTTTTCAGTTACTAAAGAATGGACTGGCTCATTAAGCACTTATTTCTCTAGCAGAATGGTAAACAGTTATTATTCACCAAACTATTACCAGAATCGGGGCATCAAATTCTAAAATATTTTTGGGTTTTATAAATCTTCCCAAAGTGTACTTAATTAGTTTACATTCTTTGTGCCAAACCATTGTGGAAGTAAGTGGAGATGACATTTTAAAAAGGTAAATTTAACTTCTGGTTTGTTGTTGTTGTTATGTGCCATCGAGTCGGACCTGATTCATAGCGACCCCTCCTTCGGTTTCCGAGGCAGTATCACTACGGAAGTAGATTCCCCAACCTTCCTTCAGAGGAGTGGCTGGTGGGTTTGAACCACCAGCTTTCTGGTTAGCAGTCAAGTGCCTTAGGCACTGTTGTTGTTGTTATGTGCCATGGAGTCAGACCTGACTTACACCAACCCCTCCTCGGGTTTCTGAGGCAGTATCTTTACAGTACCCTTTAAATGTTTCCTATTATATGCATTGAAAAGGTTACTTTTCAGAGGTAAAGAAACAAGTGAGTGAAACCGCAGTAACAAGCTAAAGAATCCTTCATACATATATGTATAATATGCATATATTTCATTTGGTAGCTACATGGTGAGAGGATGTTTCAAAGGTATCATACAGAAGCTGAATACTTTTTTTTCCACCTCTAACCATACCAATATGATCTACTATGCCAGGAATGACAAATTCAAGAGGAATGGTGGGGCATTCATAATCAAAAAGAATGTTTCAAGATCTGTCCTGAAGTATAATGCTGTCACTGATAGGATAATGTCCATACACCCACAAGGAACACCAGTTAATACCACCATTATTCAAATTTATGCACCAACCACCAATGCCAAAGATGAGGAAATTGAAGATATTTACCAACTTCTGTAGTCTGAAACTGACTGATAATGCAATCAAGAGGTATTGATTATCACTGCTGACTGGAATGCACAAGTTGGAAAGAAAAAAGAATCACCGGTAGTTGGAAACCCTTGGTGATAGAAATAATGCTAGAGATTGCATGGTAGAATTCTGCAAGACCTGTGACTTATTCATTGCAAATACCTCTTTTAAACAACACAAATGGCAGCTACACATGTGGACTTTGTCAGAAGGAGTGCACAGGAATCAGATCGACTATATCTGTGGCAAGAGGTGATGGAAAAGCTCAATATCTGAAGCCAAAAGAAGGCCAAGAGCTGCTCATATGCAAGTTCAACTTGAAGCTGAAGACAATTAAAACAAGGCCATGAGAACCAAAATATGACCTTGATTATATCCCTCCTGAATTTAGAGACTATCTAAAGAACAGATTTGATGCGTTGAACACCAGAGAGCAAAAACCAGAGGAATTGTGGGATGACATCAAAATATCATCCATGAAGAAAGAAAGCAAGAGGTCATTAATATGACAGGAAAAGAAGAAAAGACCACAATGGATGTCAGAAGAGACTCTGAAACTTGCCTTTGAATGGACAGTAGCTAAAACAAATGGAAGAAATAAGAAGATAAAAGAGCTGAACAGAAGATTTCAAAGAGCAGCTTCAGAAGACAAAGTCAATTATTACAAATGAAATGCACAAAGACCTGGAGTTAGAAAACCAAAAGGGAAGAACACGCTTGGCATTTCTCAAGCTGAAAAACTTTAAGAAAAAATTTAAGCCATGAGTTGCAATAGTGAAAGATTCTATGGGCAATATATTAAAGGATGCAGGAAACATCAAAAGAAGATGGAAGGAATACACAGAATCACTGTACCAAAAAGAATTGGTCAATGTTCATCCATTTCAGGAGGTGACATATGATCAAGAACCAACAGTATTGAAGGAAGGAGTTGGAGCTGCACTGAAGGAATTGGTGAAAAATAAGGTTCCAGGAATTGACGGAATACCCACTGAGATGTTTCAACAAGTGGATCCTGTGCTGGAGGCACTCACTTGGCTGTGCCAAGAGATTTGGAAGACAGATACCTGGCCAACTGACTGGAAGAAATCCATATTTGGACCCATTCCAAAGAAAGATGATCCATGGATTGTGGAAATTATCAAACAGTATCATTAATATCACATGTAAGTAAAATATTACTGAAGATAATTCAAAAACGACTGTACCAGTCTATTGACAGAGAACTTCCAGAAATGCAAGCTGGATTCATAAGAGGATGTGAAACAAGGGATATCATTGCTGATGTCAGATGGATCCTGGCTGAAAGCAAAGAATACCAGAAAGATATTTACTTGTGTTTCATTGACTATGCAAAAGTATTTCATTGTGTGGATCATAACAAACTATGGATAACGTTGAGAAGAATGGTAATTCCAGAACACTTAATTGTGCTCATGAGGAATCTGTACATAGACCAGGAGGTTGTCGTTTGAACAGAACAAGGGGATACTGCATGGTTTAAAATCAGGAAGGGAGTGTGTCAAGGTGCTGTCCTTTCACCATACTTGTTGAATCTGTATGCTGAGCAAATAATCCAAGAAGCTGGATTATATAAAGAAGAATGTGGCATCAGGATTGGAAGAAGACTCATTGACAACCTACAATACAACGATGACATAACTTTGCTTTTTTAAAATGAGGGTGACTTACAGATGAAGATTAAAGAATACAGTATGCAGTATAGATTACACCCCAATATAAAGAAAACAAAAATCCTCACAACTGGACCAATAAGCAGTATAATGATAAATGGAGAAAGGATTGTAGTTGTCAAGGACTTCATGTTGCTTGGTTGTATAGTCAACGCCAATGGAAGCAGCAGTCAAGACATGAGAGGGCATATTGCACTGGACAAGTCTGCTGCAGAAGATCTCTTTCAAGTGCTGGAAAGCAAAGATATCTCCTTTAAGACTAAGGTGAGGCTAACCTAAGCCATGATATTTTCATTGCCTCATATGCATGTGAAAGCTGGACAATGAAGAAGACTAAAGAAGAGTTGATGCTTTTGAGTTGTGGTGTTGGGAAAGAATGCTGAGAGTACCACGGACTGCTAAAAGAACTAACAAATCTGTCCTGGAAGAAGCACAACCAGAATGCTCCTTGGAAACAATGGTCAAACTTCACCTCACCTTCTCTGGTTATGTTGTCAGAAAGGACCATTCCCTGGAGAAGGATATCATGCTTGGTAAAGTGGAGGGTCAATGAAAAAGGGGAAGGCCCTGAATGAGATGGTTGACACAGTGGCTGCAATGATGGGCTCAGGTATAGCAAGGATTGTGAGGCTGCCACAGGACCAGGCAGTGTTTCATTCTGTTGTGCAGGGACACTATGAGTCAGAGGCGACTCAGTGGCACCTAACAACAACAACAACAAACCATACTCCAGGTGAAATAATTTAGAATAGAATACTAGAGTTTCTTAATCATATTTAATGATGTTATTTCTAAGACTGTATTTTCTGAACCTTTTCTCCTTATGTAATTCTTTAAATTTTATGTAAAACTTTAAACCTTAATACCCGCAGAAACCATTCTTAATGATCCTGATTTTCTTGTATTTGTGAGAACATAAATTGTTGCAACCAATTTAGCGGGGTATCTGGCAGTGTCAAACTAAAAATGTCTGTTTTATTATCTATCCAGCAATCCTACTTCTGGGAACCTATTTCATATAAACAGTACCACAGGTGTGCAAAGTTATATATAATGGTATCTTCTTTACAGCAGCTTCTAACAAAAAATATAAATAAAAACAAGTGATTTGTCTAAAAACATTTTATGACTTTCAAAAAATGAAACAAAACAAAATAAAGGATCCAGAAAAAGTTTAAAGTAAAGAGAAAGAGAAAGGAAAAGGAAAGGAGAAGGAAGAGCAAGAGTTTTGTAAAAACAAAGATAACCAACCAAACCAAACTCTGGAAGGAAACCGACGAAACCACAAATCATCTCTGAGTGGCAGGAATAGGAGGGAGGTAGGAAAGAACTTTCCTTTTTTATTTTGTAATCACTCTCATATTTGTTATGATGTGCACATGTTGTTTTAACAGAAGAAAAGGGGAGTTAAGGAAATAGCACACAGAATTTAGTAGACATATTTACATCATTAGTAGTTTTGAAATTTTAAATATATTGCTGATAAACTCTGAATACTTAATGTATCAAAAAGATCCATGCAACATACAAAGAGTATGAGCTCTGTCTCCAGAGTAAAATTTACTAGGTTTGAATCTTGGCTTCCAAAGTAACAGCCACTGACAACCCTATAGAGCACTGTTCTGCTGTGACACACATAGCGTCACCACTAGCAGACAGCAACTGTACAGCAAATGGTTGCTTGAAATTTTGGCTCAAACATTTACAAGTTGTGTGCTCTTGGACAAGTAAGCTCCCTGAACTTCATCTCCTCCTTTCTAAAATGAGGAAAATAGTTCCTACCTCAAAGGGTTGTTGGAAGGTTTCAATGCTTGAAGATAGGAAAAGTCTTCTTAGAACATTACCTGGCACATAGTAAGTAGATCAATAAATGTTTATCACTATCAGTATCTTTTAATATTATTGGTATTGTTTACAGAATTTTTTAATTTTCAGGGGAGAATAATTCTAATTCTATATTCTGAGAGAACCTCAAATACTTATTTGGAAGCACTAAGGTGTCACAAGTCGCTAATTGAATCTCATCCCTCTGTCTTCTTATTTCTCTATCACATAGAAAAAGCCAAGTACAAGCTCCTTTTAAAATTCCCTTTATGTTTATAATGCCAATACAAAATCTGAATTTTAAAATAGAGACATTAAATACTGCTTCTATGTTAAAATATGAAAGAAACATAAGGCTTTTCCCATAAAAATAATACATTTCACTAACCTGATATAAGGCAAAGCAGGGTCAACATGATGGAGTGTTATTGCAGTAATGTATGAAAAGATGAAAGCAGCAGCAGTCCAAATTACGAGGGCTGAAGGGAGGAAGCTAAGGCCTTGCTGAAACCACCACATCTCAAACGTCCTCTGAAGTAAAAAACCAAGAAAAGATAATTCACAAGAGTTTTCTCTATTCCACTTTAGCCACCCACTTTCGCTATCTTGGCAGTGAACACGATGAACTGCTCTACCTCTGAAATCATCCCCATACCATCCTCAACCCTGCTCTTTTTCCCTTTCTCAGTAAACAAAATCAGATTGACCCACCTGCCATAGTAGAAACCTTTCTCCCTCACCTTCTCACACATAATCAAGCACCTAATACTATTTATTCTACTTCTAAATTTCCTTTCCATCTACCCTTCTTTCTGTCTTCACTGCCACTAATCTATCTAAAACCATCGTCATCTCTTGGCCAAATTATTATAATAATGTCCTAAACGGTCCTCACCCAGTCTTAATCACAACCAGTCAAGATGCCACTCTAAAACCAGAGTGATGCTTCTAAAACACCAACCTGACACTGTTACTCTCCCACGAAGAATCTTTCAATGGCTCCCCTGAGCCTATACAAATCATTTTTCCTCCTTAACGGCGTCTACAAGATGCTGGCATCATCTGATCTCTACTTATCTTTCTACATTCATCTTTGGCCACTCCTTGCTCACTGCCAATTCTTTGCTGTAGCCATTTTATCATTATAAAGGCACAACAGTTAGTGTTTGCTGGGTGACAACAATTAAGCATGTTAAACAGTTAATTTATAATTACATGCATATAAATCAAAAGAATTATAAAGAGGTTAAGCAAACTGCCCAAGGCTATAGCGCTGGAAAGTGGTAAAGAAAGATTCAAACTCAGGTCATCTAACATTAAATCACCATGCTATACTTCCAGGCCAAACTTCTCTCAGGCCTTACAATGGGTCATGCTCTCCTGCGAATCTTCAGAGCTTCATACACATTGTCATTTCCGCCTGGATGACAGAGTGCTGGGCAATCACCCCTCCTCCTTCACTCCCACCAGTTAACTCAGACACATCTTTTGGGTCTCAAACCTTCCAGCTTCAGCTGCATATCCCTGAGTTATTTACTCAGGCAATCGAGACACTCATCATACTTAACTGTTACTTGCTTGTTTGGTTTTCTCTTCCTCACTAAATTTTAAGTTCTGTGAGAACAGGAACCAACTCTTTTGTTCACCATTTTATTTCCAGCTCCTATATAAGAAAAGAAAAAGAAAATATCTCACAGATATATATATACTACACATCACTGTTTTCTCCCTTAAATCCCAGACTTAGGATGTTATTAAGCAATAAGGACTTAATAATGTGAATCAGAAATCTTTTTATAATTTATTTTTGTTGTTGAGAATAACAATAGTTGAGAATACACACAGCACAATATATACCAATTCAATACTTTCTATCTACATGTACAATTAAGCGCACTGATTACAGTCTTCGCGTCCTGCAACCATTCTCATCCTCCTTTTCCAAGGTGTTGCTCTCCCATTAAGAAAAACTCCCTGCTCCCTAAGGTTCCTATCTAACCTTCTGAGTTGCTATTGTCAATGTGATCCCGTACAGATAGATCTTAAAAGAGCAGAATATTAGAGGCAGACATTCTTTACTAGTTAAGCTAAACTATTGTTTAGTTTTAGGTTTAAACAAGACTTTAGGGGACATTTTTGGCTTATGGTTTAAAAATTGTATCAGACCAGTACTTTTGGAGGTTTACCCAGCCTCCATGGCTACAGATCTGGAGTCCATGAGAAATTCAAAATTTGCATTTCTCCCTTTTTGTTTCTTCTATACCAACTGTCACTGAGTCAATTCTGACCCACAGCAACCCTACAGGACAGAGTAGAACTGCCATATAGGGTTTCCAAGGCTGTAAATCTTTATGAAAGTAGACTGCCTAATCTTTCTCCTGTGTAGCAATTGAACCATTGACCTTTTGGTTAGCAATCTTATGCTTTAACCACTGTGCCACGAGAGTGCCTTAAGATTATTTTCTAGAATTAATGTCTTTATGCATTTAATTCTAAAAAAAGAAATCCACTCTCAAATTGCAAGAAATTATGTCTAGGCATATGAGAATAATTTCATGTTTGGAGGAGCATCTACTCATGTTTGATGATCTAACATTAAGTATTTCCCATGAACTCAGTAAAAACTCAGCTCTTAAAGAAGAATGAAGAAAACCAAAGACGCATGGAAACAATCAGTCCAAGGGACTAGTGGACCATATGATCCTCAGCCTACATGACTCTGAGACCAGAACTACTAGATGGTGCCCAGCTACCCACCATCAACCATCAACCACTTAGAAAGGGATCAAAATAAGAGACCCTGAATAGAGTGGGAGAAAAATGTGGGACAAAATTCAAAATCATAAAAAAACAAAGACCACGCTTGCTGGTCTGATAGAAACTGGTGAAACCCCCATGACTATGGCCCCTGGTCACCCTTCAGGCCTGGAACTGAACTCATTCCCACAGCTTCCAGCCAAATAATACACAGGCATTTACCCCAGGTTGTTGTTGTTGTTGTTAGTTGCCATCGAGTCAGCCCCAACTCATAGCGACCCCTCCTTGGGTTTCCGAGGCAGTATCACTACGGAAGTAAGATTGCCCAACCTTCCTTCCGAGGAGTGGCTGGTGGGTTTGAACCGCCAGCCTTCTGGTTAGCAGTCAAGTGCCTTAGGCACTATGCTACCAGAGCTCCCTTACCCCAGGTAGTTACACTCATTAGAATGATCAACTGTGGAATATCAGAAAGGCAGTATTTGCACAGGGAGATTGCTCAGGGGGCAGGAATGCACAGGAAAGAAGAACACAGGGAAAAGGTAACCAGAGGGAGGAAGTGGGAAGAGAGCTGTTACATCATGGGGATTGCAATTAGTGTCAAGAAACAAAATATGTATGAACTATGTTGGGCAATCCTACTTCCGTAGTGATACTGCCTCAGAAACCCAAGGAGGGGTCGCTATGAGTCAGGGCTGACTCGACGGCACATAACAACAACAACAACAACAACAACAACAATTATGTGGTGCAATGAATTATTTGGTATGGCTTTTTCTAGCCATAGTCTTTGTAACTCCCATGGATTACTGGGTGGGACCATGCAAATAAGATGTGGAGAACTCTGATGTTGTTATTAGTTTCTCTGCCAGGCTTAAAATAGCTTTCCTAGAGGCAAAGAAGGAGCTCTTTTCCTTTATTCCTAAACTCACCATTTTAGACCTGACTTGGGTAATTTCCTGCCTAAATTATCATCTCTTCACATTTTATTCTCCTTGTTAGTCCTTAAGACTCCATCAACTTCTTTTGGTGGCGTAGTGCCTAAGGCATTTGACTGCTAACCAGAAAGCTGGTAGGTGGTTCAAACACACAAGCCACTCCTGGGAAGGAAGACTGGACAATCTACTTCCGCAAAGATACTGCCTCGGAAACCCAAGGAGGGCTCGCTACAAGTCAGAATCAACTCAATGGCAGTGAGTTTGGTTTTTGGTTTGGTATTGCTCTTGCTGCCTGGTGCTGTTGAGTTGGTTCTGACTCCCAGCAACCCCTTGCATAATAGAACTAAACACTGCCCAGTCCCTTGCCACCCTCACAATTGTTGCTATGTTTGAGCCATTGTTGCAGCCACTATGTCAATCCATCTCGTTAAGCCTTCTTCTTTTTTCACTAACCCTCTACTTTACCAAGAATGATGCCCTTCTTTAGGAACTGGTCCCTCCTGTTAACATGTCTAAAATATGTGAGACGAGGTATAGCCATTTCACTTTTAAGCAGCTTTCTGGCTGTACTTCTTCCAAGACAGATTTGCTTGTTCTTCTGGTATAATCAGTATTTTTTGCCAGAAAGATAATTCAAAGGCATCAATTCTTCTTTAGTCTTCCTTATTCATTGTCCAGCTTTCACAGGCATACGAGGTGAATGAAAACGTGAAAAGAGATTATGATAATTTAGGTAGGAAACTACCCAAGTCAAGTCTAAAATGGTGACTTAAGGGATAAAGGAAAAGAAACTTATTTAGCGAGATGTGAACGTACAGATTTAGTAACAAGTCAGACGATCAGGGTAAGTGACAAGTGCACGTAAAAAGTGACTGAGATTTCTTTATTTGGAAGGTCAGTCTGGAATGAGGAAGTTTGAATCAGGCAAACCTTTGTCCTCATTTATTTAGTCACCATGATTCCTTGCCATGATCTCAGAGTGCTTACTTTAGCACAGGTTGCTGGGAAAGTAATTCTTACGCTCTGTATTTTTTAATCACTTCTAAAATCTTGTTTTTAATTGTTCTTCTTTTACCTTTTCAAATATTATCTTGCTTTGGATAATTCCATTATCTATTAGTTCTGCCCAAACTTGCACACGCACTTTATGGTTTTTGGATATGACTCTTTATTTAGATTATCTGTGATATTCTAAAAAATTTAGATTAAGGGTGAGTTATTCCACAGTGGGTCTGTGTTTGTTTTTTATCAGGCACCCTGGCATTTTAACAACCTGAGACAACTTTGATCTCTTGGTACACAGTTTTTTAGAGCACACAGGTATGGAATTTTTTTTTCCTTCAAATACACTTTCCTTTTTAAAAAATTTATTTTAAGAGTGTGCTTTACATTCAACATTACGCATACATTTAGTTTCACTCCCCATTTACCATGCCCAAACCTAACCCAGTTTCCTCCCCTCCCTGCCCAGTAAACTCCCCCACTCCCCACCCTGTGCCCCTCAGTTATTCACTCCTCACACAGGTATGGAAATTTTAACCTTGAATCTGAGTGATGACATGTCTAGTTTTAAGTTCTCAGGTTGTTTCTATCACCCTACCTGGAACTGAGGCAAAAAATGAACAAATTCCTTTGCCATCTTCCTTTGCCAGGAAGGAGGTGTTTTTCTAACCCACTTTTCACTGAGTATGCAGACTGTTGAGGGAACTGGTTAAATTCGGAGTAGGTGATTCTCCAAGACCATGAGTTACACAATTTCAAGCAGAAACATTTAAATTTATGAAAATATTTGAAACACAGGTATCATTTATACAGATGGCCATGTGAATGGCACTGCCTGGAGTTGTGCACCTGGGAGGTTTAGTAGTATGAAGTCTACTTATCTACCTCAGGTGGGGAGCAAAGGAAACCTTGTCAAAACCAAAAAACCAAACTCATTGGCATTGAGTCAGCTCCAACTCATAGGGAACCCTCTTTGGGTTGCCAAGGCAGTATCACTACGGAAGTAGATTGCCCAACCTTCCTTCTGAGGAGTGGCTGGTGGGTTTGAACTGCCAGACTTCTGGTTAGCAGTCAAGTGTCTTAGGCACTATGCTACCAGAGCTCCTATCTCTTGTCTAGTAGTGCTTTATCTCTGCTATCAGCCAAATGCCCCAAAAGGAGCCAAAATGCTAGTGTACTACTCTGGTTTAGTTTTTACTTTGACTCTTCAGTCCTGGAAATTTTTCTTTCTTTCCTTCCAGATAAGCTATGCATTTACTTAAAAACGCTAATATAGTAATTCAGCAATTAAGTATCCCTTTGCTAGAAAACATAGCATCCTACTCCCCTTTTTATTGTTTTTGCAGGACCAAATCCTTCCTTCTCATCAAAATCAAGCTTAAATGCCATCAATTGCACACAACCTTTCCTAATCCGACTGCATCTGGAAATAAGCACCCCTTCCTCTGAAAACATCTGATTTGTGCATCTCTTATAACTATCTTCTACTGCATAAAATTTAGAAAGGTGTCTTAAGTGGATAAGGTCCTTGATGAAGGACTCCATTTCTCCACATAAGCCTAACAAAGGGTCATGCTCATAGTAATCACTCAATAAGTATTTCTTATACAACCAAAAACAAATCCTCTTAATTCCCAAAACAGTTTATGATGGTTCTACTTCAGTAAACAGCATTACAATTTTCCAGTTTATCTATAGTAACCTTAGATTCTCTCTTCCAAAGCCTTTACATGTCACTGTTGTTGTTGTTAGGTGCTGTTGAGTCGTTTCTGACTCATGTTGTTGTTGTTGTTGTTATGTGCTGTTGAGTCCGCCCCGACTCTTAGGGACCCCTCCTTGGGTTGCCAAGGCAGTATTACTACGGAAGTAGACTGCCCACCTTCCTTCCGAGGAGTGACTGGTGCGTTTGAACCGCCAGCCTTCTGGTTAGCACTATGCTACCAGAGCTCCTTTCTGACTCATAGCAACCTTATGTACAATAGAACAAAACACTGCCCACCAACTCCTGTGCCATCCTCACGATCCTTGCTATATATACCTGAGCCCATCACTGCAGTCACTGTGTAAATCCATCTTTTTGAGGGCCTTCCCCTTTTTCCTTGACCCTCCACTTTAGCAAGTATGATAGCCTTCTCTAGGGAATTGTTCCTTCTGACAATGTGACCAAAGTAGGTGAGACAAAGTTTGGCCATTCTCCCTTCTAAGGAGCATTCCAGTTGCACTTTTTCCAGGATAGATGTGTTAGTTCTTTTAGCAGTCCACGATACTTTCAGTATTCTCTACCAACACCACAACTCAAAAGTATAACTCTTGGGGATTCAAAATGGAATCTCGTCAGTAAGCACCACGCTATTTCCCTCCAGCATCTAAGTGCTTGAAAAACTAGGTACAGCAGTTTGAATTAGGGATTTTGGTGCTCTGAACAGCTAACTGAATCAGAGTGCACCAAACATGGAAGAGAAGAATTAGAGGAAAGGTACAGGAAGATTATTTAAGAAAGAGCTACGTGGCGAAGGATGGACGGGCAGCCAAGAGAGGCCATTGGAAACTTCCCTGGGGCAGTCACTGACTGGTGGGCGAGGGCAGCCACCTGAGATCCCCGAGCCAAGAAAGAAGACACCTCATATCAACATACCACTGACCACTCCAATATTCCAATGGGCAGCCCCAGGGATCTGCCTCCAGCACCTGATTTTGTCGGTAATTTGGGTCATCTGGGTGCAGGTGGATGCGCACACCACTGCTGAGATTCAAGCAGAGAGCTCACTGTTGCGCCAGGAAGGGGAGCTCCCTCCCCTCTCAGTGGGTCACTCACTGAGTGGGCTTGGGTAAGCCTGGGAGACATCATGCTTATCTTTGTCACGGTTATCGGGATCACAGTTCACTAGCAAATGCTCCCCCAACTCCAACACAACTGAAATTGCACGCATCTTTGGCACCGCAGGTGGGCGGTATCACAGACAAACTCCAGAGCCAGCCATTACAGGTCTGGTGGGATCTCACCGCGGGCAGACAAGGTGGGAAGAGAGAGAGAGGAAGCCGTGGTTGAGTGTGGTCCCAGGAATTTGCCTTGGATCGACTCTTTGGTGCTGAGCTCAGAAGCGAGGTCTTTGAGTGTGCCTGAGCCTGGTGGAAAATTGCGACTCCCTAACAATAGGAATCTTTTCTGAGATTGAGCCGCCATCTTGTAAATAACTACATCATCAAAAATAGCCTGCGCAAAGCCCTAGAAACCGACCCTAACAACACCAAGCTATCCTTCTTCTGCTCCCAAATTCTCTGCCAATAACTTCACTCATTCAATAGAAGAAACCATATTCATCCAATTACCATAAAACCTCCTACTTCGAACTCTAAACCCTCTTTACAACAAACAGAAACACATATCCGCATTCCACACAGTGATGCCACCATCACAAAGAAAACAGCAAAGCAACTCAACACACATGAATCAATAATAAAAAAAAAAAAACACTAGCTTTACTTTTTCAAAATATTAAACCAAAAAACCAAGACAAAACAAATCAACAAATAACCAGCAGCTAGAGACAACCTAAAGAGATAGCACTCTACCAGATTCCAGGGGCTTAAGAAGAGGTTCTGCTTTCCAGTAATCCCAAGAACTTTCTGGACCTGCATGACTGAAAAGGTCCTAGTTTACACCTCTTTTGTTTTCTTTCTTTTCCCAGTTACTTATTAAAATATTTTTTTTATTTATCTTTTTTTTTTTTTCCTTGTAGTTAACC